TGAATTAAAGTAATTTTATAGTATACTTGAAATTATCTTTTTCACTTAACATACAGCCTGCAATCTGGTAAATCTGCATACCACCATGTGTTTTGTTTTAAAAACTGGTTGTTTTATTTCAACTGTTTTGGAAGTCTTTAGTGGTGTCATTCATGCACAGTTCGTTTGCTAAAATCGCCACCTGTCTCACTTTAGTGGTTTTTCCGTTTTATGTTATGTGCTTGGTCTTTAAAGGCTTTTGGCTTCTAGGAGCCTAGATTTAAAATTCTGCCCAGTTTGAATGTTCACTAAACTGTTCTTTTCATACAGTCATAGAACACCAGAATTTATTAGGTTCAACACTGTCTTAGAGGTTAGCTAACTGTTCTTATTTCTTCCAAGAAGACACCTAAGACCAAGAAAAGTAAAGTAACTTCCCCATGGTTAAACATGCATTAATAGTGCTGCCAAAATGCTCTTCTAACTCACTAAGGCAAAACTCTTCTGATTCTGAAGTTTCTTATTTTGTCAAGGCATCTCTATAAAAATATTTGCTTCATAAGCACTTACCCCTCAATGCAGGCAGCAGAGATCTCTCCTTCTTATCATCACATTTGTTACATTCACTGAAGTACAGCAGTAAGAAGACATCAACAAGAACCCACATCAATGAAGTGGCTAGAACCACCTTGCAGTAAACAAATCTCCTCATGTCTTTCCTTGATTTCTAGTTAACACACAGATTGAAGACAAATGCTACTGTGATAAATCCAAGCCACACAGGTGAACTCCAAGATAAAAGCAGCATACATTCCACTGTATTAAAAAAAAAGAAGAAGAAAATTTCATTAATTGTACACATAGATTTTTGGATAAAGAACATATAACATTAAATGTAGGACTTACTTAGTGCTCTCAAATATATCAGCACTCAAGCCTTCGAATCCAAAATTAAAAGCCTAAATAAATGAAAGTTGCCAGCAAGCTAGTTGGCTAACATTTTAATACCTAATACTAGATCTGCCACTACTCTGCTAGGCCCTTGACAAACTATTTGATTCCTTTAAGTTGTATTGTAATGACCTTAAAGTCATATCATGATATTCTTTATAGCACCAGGTTGTCAAACAGTGCAATTCTGAGTTTACTCTAATTCAGTACTTCTGATTAGCCAATAATACTGAAATAGAAATCATCCTAGGATACATTATATTATAGCATCTAAGATCTGGCCTTTATAGACAGACACGTCTAGGTCCATACACCTCCTAGGAATAGAAGACTTTCTAAGCCACAGTTTCCTCGCATGTATAATGTGGATAGAAATGCCAAACCTAAACCTCATTTGTTATGAGGATTACGTAGAATCATACTTATAAAGCATCTTGCAGAACACATAATTATCAAAACATAAAACAGAGCTGGGCATGGTGGCTCACACCTGTAATCCCAGCACTTTGGGAGATCGAGGCAGGTGGATCACCTGAGGTCAGGAGTTTGAGACCAGTCTGGCCAACATGGTAAAACTATGTCTGTACTAAAAATACAAAAATTAGCCAGGCATGGTGGCACATGCCTATATTCCCGGCTACTCGGGAGGCTGAGGCAGGAGAATCACTTGAACGTGGGAGGTGGAGGTTGCAGTGAGCCGAGACTGCACCACTGCACTCCAGTCTGGGTGACAAGAGCGAAACTCTGTCTCAAAAAAAATAATACATACATACATAAAAATAAAATAAAATAAATATATAAAATAACAAAAATTGTTCTCATATTCTTAAGTAGAGCAATTACAAGACATGATTAATAATTACATAGCCTCCAAAATCCCAGCTGATCTGCAGAGAAAGTATCTACAATAAATATGTATTTAGAATAAATAGCATGCATCCAGTTTATCAGAGGAAAAACATATTAATATAAATGATTTAAAATAATCAGAGCAAGAATTCTAACGGCTATAACAAAGATAGACACATAATTATTAAGAGACATTTTCCAAGGTAAGTGTAGAATGAATACCTTACACATATTTGTTTTATTTATACTACATTGAGCATTTTATTTATACTACTACATTTGTTTAACTACCTGGTTAACCAACTTTTATCTATAAAGTAAGTAAATCAGACAAAACATAATCTGATGCCATTTGTTACATTTCAAATAATACCAAGTAAAATATAAACTTATTGATGTGAATAAGATAAGTGATGAAGTTTTGACAGAGCTATTTGGGGTGAACAGTATTAAATACAAAGACACTTGAAATATTTCATTAACGTGTGTCTCAGAATAAAAACATCAAAGTATAATTTGATAAGCACAAGCTCTTCAAATTAACAGCAGCTGACAGCACCATAAAGCAACAGAAATTCTGTCGCCTGTTATAACCAACCTAAACTAGCAACAAATTCAAAATTCACATAAAGTGCCAGTTACAAAATAATTATTGTAACAGATTTTATTTTAGTAACTACAAAAAAATTACATTTACATTTATTCAGAATATATATATACACACACATATAAAATGGAGAGATATATGTAAATCCAAAGAATACATGACATTTGGGTGTTTTTTTCTTAGAAAAAGTAACATGTTATTATCTACTTTGTTTCATTTCCACTTTAATTTTCTATAAAAATGATAGCTAAATATTGGAAATCAGCCTCTAAACCTGATAATAAAGGAGTTATTGTCCCATACTTATTTCCTGTTACTGTGTACATTCTTTTCTAAATTTGAGATATGAAACAATTCAAGCTATCAAATTTTCTGTATTCAGTCTTAAGATAGGGTAGATCCTTTCAGTTTATCATAGAAAATAATTCCATGGAGAAGTACATATAACATTGATGGTCACTACACAGTCATCCCCAAGTTTACAAGGAGTACCTTATACATAAATGATCCTGGAAGATGTAAACAGCACCATGCCTGGCTCTGATATCAAATAAAGAGATGACCTTAGGTAGGTATCTTGCTTTTCAGTGCTTCATTTGTTTTTAACATATTTCCTGTCCCATCAATCTCACAAAATATTGTGAAGCTTAAGCAAGATAAAGAATTTAAAATATTGTTTAAGAAAAGATGAAGAATATTACTATAATAGAAAATCTGAAATCACTCAGTATTAATTAAATATTAAAATGTCTAAGCTAAGTCATTTCCTAATAAGAGCCTAACAGCTGAGGTTATTGAGAATTTAATTTAAACTTTAGTTATGATAAAAAGTCAAAATTACATATTATTGCCACTTCAAGTAGTATTCAAATTATCCTGAATTCATAGCCTGGTAGCACTATATATTAAGACATTAGCACTGAAAGAATACTAACTATACCATTTCATGTGAAAAACTAAGTTGCTGTTTAAACTTCTTATCTAATTACGAAACAGACTCTCCTTATTTTTTTAAGTTTTTAAATTTTATCTACATCTTGAAAACACCTAAGCCTTGAAAACAGGCTAAACTTTATCATTCACAGAGATCTAATCCCCTGGCACTTATAAAATAATAATCTTGTATATTGTATTTCAATATTCCTCTTAAGAGAAGAAAACTGAGCAGAAAAATGGTACTTTAAACACAGAATACTAATCAACATAAGCACAGTTGGTGGCCCAGGTTTATCTAAGAGAGTCAGCGTCTGCATTATGTTTCTATTCCAGGAAACCCCTACTTATTTGCAAATACTGTTCTGTTTCTCAAACAGTCAGAAAATCCAAGTTCTTCAATATCCCTGGCTTGCCAAGCCAATGTAGTGCATGAGCAACTTGTCTCAACTACAGCCTTTTCTATCCAATACTATTACCCTTTTCCTAATTGTTTCAAAAACATTAAGTAATGGTATCAGCAAGATTGTCTACATTATAGTATTTTTACTTGAAAATGTGTACCATATTTCCTATCTTTATTAAAAATTGATTTTAAGGCTGGGCACAGTGGCTCATGCCTGTAATCCCAGAACTCTGGGAAGCCGAGACGGGCGGATCATCTGAGGTCAGAAGTTGGAGACCAGCCTGGCCAACATACTGAAACCCTGTCTCTACTAAAAATACAAAAATTAGCCGGGCATGGTGGTGTGTGCCTGTAATCCCATCTACTCAGCAGGCTGAAGCAGCAGAATGGCTTGAACCTAGGAGGCAGAGGCTGCAATGAACAGAGATCGCACCACTGTACTCCAGCCTGGGCAACAAGAGAGAAGCTCCATCTCAAAAAAAAAAAAAAAAAATTATTTTTAAAAATAAGAAATAAATCTGGAAAAATCTTATTACTTTTTTGAGTGAAGGTTAGTGACAGTGGCTTTGTCACTATGTTGTTAAAAAGAAAAAAAGTTTTTGTTTTTGCTTTGGTTTGTTATTTGTTGTTCTTTTTTAATTAGGAAGTTATTACTCAGGGAATCTACTTTACTTGCTATTAGACATATTTTTATCTATAGTCATAAACTTTCTTTTGTAGAAAATTGTGTAATGGGAGCAAATTTTTTCAGTCTATTTTATGAGGCTATCCTTGAGGCTGCCAAGGGATCCTGGAAACTAGTATAAGGCTGCTGGTAATCCTTCCAGAAGTTTCAGGCACTCAGCATACTTTAAATGTTTTAAATAGGCAGGAGCTTCTGTGAGCTAATGACCAAATAATTTTGCAGAGTTTGGTTTATAGGCTGATAAATGTAGTGAGTAAGCCCTGAAAAAACACCATAAATTAGCTTCAGGTCTGACTGATAGGGAAACAGATCTTTGCATGAATAAAGATAAAAAACTGGCCGGGCACAGTGGCTCACACCTATAATCCCAGCAATTTGGGAGGCCGATGCACGTAGATCACCTAAAAGTAAGGAGTTCGAAACCAGCCTGATCAACATGGCGAAACTCTGTCTCTATTAAAAATGTAAAAATTAGCTGGGCATGGTGGTGGACTCCTGTAATCCCAACTACTCAGGAGGCAGAGGCAGGAGAATCACCTGAACCTGCGGGGCAGAGGTTGCAGTGAGCCAAGAGTGTGCCATTGCACCCCAGCCTGGGCAACAGAGCAAGACTCTGTCAAAACAGACAAACAAACAAACAAAAAAGACAAAAACTTAAGTTAAACCCAGGAAATCCACTCACAGCCTAAACCAAAGTGTCCACTGTAATAACCACATCACACTAAAGGTTAAACTAAGAGACAAAGAAGCCAACAAATATAGTGCTAAATAAATGCTTTTTACTGAAAGATGGTAGAAGAGAAGAAATAAACAAAACTGAAGAAAAACAACAAAAAAGTCCTCATTTGCATATCAACTAAGGAAAGGGAGAATATTGATAACATAAAGTTCAATTCTTAGGAGGGAACCTAACATAGGCTGTAAAAGAAAACGTTTCAGAGTTACTTTGTCATGATTTGAGTCTGGGTTCCAACACTCACTAATTGTGCAACTTGATTCAAGTTCCTTAAATGTTTAAGGCCTTGGTTTTCCTATTCACAGAATGTGAATAATAGTAGTTACCTTGTAAGACTAGGATGAGTACAGGGATGTAACATGTAACCTCTTATAACTGTGCCTGGCACATAAGAATTCATTATACATTAGTTATTATTACTAGTAGTAACACTTACATTGTTTTCATCAGAAACATCAGTGAAAGAGCCAGAGAAAATAATGAGGATTCTCCCTGCCCACCCTTGAGGAAACATTGCATGCTCAGTGTGTAGGCGTTCAGGGGATTGGAGAACAAGAGCACCACGTAGCAGAACTATTTTAGATGTAGTTTCTAACGTGGTATGAGTTACACAAGGTTTTACAATAGCAAAAACCAAACGAAATGTGCA